GTGTCTTCACTGCTCTGTGCTTTTTCTAGACCTGCTCTGCTCATGGCTGAAGTGACTAGCCACCTGGGCACTTAGTGGAGCTTGGAGATGTGCAATCGGGTAAAAATACATTGTAGATGTTGGGGACGACTGAATCTCATTATTATTTTTCCATCGATTCCATGGTAAAATGCTGATATTTACATCCTTCACATTAAAATATGTCAAAATTAATCTTGCTTTTTTCATTTTTCTTCTTCAAATGTAGCTGATTTTAAAGTTGTTTTTTTTTTTGAGAGAGAGTGAGAGAGGGGAGAGAGAAAGAGAGAGAGAATTTTTTTTAATATTTATTTTTTAGTTCTCGGCGGACACAACATCTTTGTTGGTATGTGGTGCTGAGGATCGAACCTGGGCCGCACACATGCCAGGCGAGCGTGCTACCACTTGAGCCACATCCCCAGCCCCAAATGTAGCTGATTTTAAAATCTCTATATGGCTTTCATTTTATGTCCTTTGGAAAGCACTCTTCCATTCTTCTCTGCTAACACTCTCTTAAGTCTGAAGCTCCTGTTGTCAGATCCTTTCATCCTTATTGCTGGCTCCTGGAGTCCTTGTTGTCATAGTCTTGGCCGCCAGCCTCCTGTCTTGGGAGGTTGACTGCTACGTCATCAACACTTTTTTCAGTACTGTCTTAATTCATGGTACATTCTGTGTGCATCCAGATACACCTTCTGATACATCTACTTCTGGTTTTCTTACGTGCCTCCCTTGGTTATCTTGTTTACCTCTTTACTTCAATTGCTCAATTCTATGTACATTTCTTGACCTTGGCCCTCATAAGATTTTAAAACCTCTGCCCCAGTCTCTTGGGCCCTGGCTGCAGCACTTCCTCATGTTCCCCAGCACGGGGGTCCCCTGGCCTCGCTCTGGAGCCCTTGTTTCTCTCATTCCTTTGTTCAACACACATTCTCTGGTCACCTGTTGTATTCCATGCTTCACTCAAGGCACTGGAGATGGGAAACCTTTTCCTTCACATTACGTATCATCTAACTGGGGTGACAGTAGGTCAAACGTAATAAGAAAAATATTTGGCATGAGGTTAGATTTTGAGAGGTGCTAGGGAAAAAAAAAATCTAAAGCTAAAAATGGCAATATGAACTATTGGCCGTGAAGGAGGGGAACTTTTAGGTGGATGGCCAATGAAGGAAGTAAAGAAGCCAGCCAAGGGGATATCTGGGGATAATGCACTCCAGACAGAAAGCAAGTACTGTACTGAGTCCTTGAAGTAGGAGGGACTGGTGTCTTCAAGAACTAGAAGAAATGAAAATATGGCTGAAGCAGAGAGGAAAAGGAAAAGCGAAACAGATGGTGAGGTCAGAGAGGTAACTAGATATCAAATCCTGCAGGGCTTTGTAGATTCTCGTGAAATCTGGAAAACTGCCTTGTACAATAGCACATACGTGCAATTCCAGCAGGAGGCTGAGGCAGGAGAATCGCAAGTTCAAGGCCAGCCTCAGCCACTCAGCAAGGTTCTAAGCCACTTAGGGAGACCTTGTCTCGAAATAAAAAGGGATGGAGATGTGGTTCAGTGCTTAAGGACCCCTGCGTTCAATCCTCAGTACAAAAGAAAAAGGGAAAAGGGAGTATTGTAAAGCTGTTGAGGGATTTTGAGCAGAAGAATGTTGTAACGTGTTCACATTTTAACAGGATTATTTTGAAACTGCAGTAAGACCAGTTTGTGAGTGAGCCAAGGCAGAAGCTGAAGGACCTGCTGGTGGCTATCCTGGCAGTCCTGTGAGACGCACGCGCCTCACACACCCGGTCATGTTTCGGTGGCTTGATCACAGTTGTGATGAGGTCACGGGAAGTGAGATGCAGACATTCTGGATACATCTCAAAAAACGGAGCTTTGGTGGTTTCTTGAGGGAATAAACAAAGATGTGGAAGGAAGCAGGTCCAGGAAGACTGGGATCCCATGTGTAGCCATGATAAGAGCAGCTGAAGTGAGGAAGATATCGCTTATCCACCTTGAGGTCGCTGATGGACGATGTCCAGGTGCAGATGTTAAGTGAGCAGTTAGCATTCTTGAAATTCAGAAGAGAATCCGTCTAAACCGAGCACTCACATTTTTCTGATTTCTCTTACTTGCTGTAAATTTCTTGTTCAGTTGCCACTAACTTCCTGAAGCTTTTTGATAATGCCTGGGGCCATGTGACTTCTCCCTGCCTCTAGTTCATTCTTTGAAGCTTCCCCCCCCACACCTGGCCCCAGTGCCCCTGTGTGCTCCCTCAACCTCTTTGGAGTTCTTGCCCCCACTTTTATGTCTTTCCAATGCAGCCTGTCCCTCATTCTAAGCTGAAGCGCCCTCTCTACCAACATTTTTTGTTTCCCTGTCTCTGTTATGCTCCTTCTACCACTTTTTCCACATTCCAAATAATGTGCCTATTTTTTAATTTTTAGGAGTGTTCTTTGTCCTTCATCTGAATGTTGACCCCGTGAAGCAAGGGACTTTCATTTTCTCACTGATATATCCCAGCACGTGTCAAATAATCACTAAGTATTTGTTGGGTTTTTCCAATTTGTCATTAGCTTACAAATGAAACTTATGAATTCATCCAACGTGTGTATGAGGTAATAAATATGACATGCTGACTTTTAAAAAGCTACTAACTATTGGGACCCTTGCCAAGTAGGGAGGTATTTTGTAGGAATTAGATGGTGTTTACGCAGCCTAATTAATAATTAGCTTCTTGCCTCTCTGGTTATTTATCTTCAGTGTTTTTTCCTGAGTTTTTATATGCTTTGGGGAGCTCAGTAAATACCTGTTGTGTATGCCCATGCAAACGCAGTGCTAGCTAGAGTTGGGATTCTTGTGCTTCCTCCAAAAGGAGAGACACATAAGAATAGCAAAGATTATAACAAAGCATGACTGGTGACATTAGAAGTGAATGTGGAAATAAAAGCTTTGGCTCCACCTAGAAAAGGCACTCATGCCATCCACAATGGCCTATTTTCTCTGGAAGGCCCTGTCCCAATGGCACTAACTGTCTCAGAGATGTCAATCTTGCTTTGTAAAAACCTATGCAAATATGCAGGGGTGATGTCTGCCCTCTCTCCTCCTTCTCTGTGAATCCTGGGTCCCACTTGCAGCTAGGACTAGACAATGGCAGAAATGGTGGGTGCAACCCCTCCCCCACCCCACCTGCAGCTTGCATTGATCCGCTAATGTTTTTAATCAATCTTGCTAAATACTTCCTGTAGGGAAAAATGAGTAGTGATGAGAAGTAATCTTGCTGCTCCTTTCTTCTGAAAAATTCAGTGACTGATTTACAGATATTGCTTATTCATCATGATATCCTGTTGTAGAAGATGGGAATTAAATTTCAGCCTTAAAGGTTATGGGATCCCTCAAGGCCCAGAGTGTAGTAATGAAAAATTGAGAACCTGGAAAAGGGATTCCAGTATCTGCATAGTGAATAAACTTCTATCAGACCTTGCTTCTGATGTGAATTTAGGATTATGTGGATATGAATATGCCAATGTTCTTTTCATTGGAGCCTTAAAACTGTCTCCATATTTCACGTATTACTTCTTTTGTTTCATTTCTCTTCAATTTAAAGCAAATTCTGTAATTTTCCTGAGGCCATGTGGGGTTCTGGGTCCTTCTCAACTGCACTAGAGTATGCTTCCCAGAAAGACCTCCTCTGAGATGCTACCACTTGATACCCCGGATAGAAGCCTTTGGCAAATATGATTACTTACAAGTTATCTCTTTCCTCTGAAGACTAATAGGGGTCCCTGTCTTTACCTATTATTCAGATTAATACATGTTTCCTAAGGTACGTGGTCACATGTTTCCTAGGGTTCATGGTCCTTTGGGGGCCCCAAATCTAATTCTTGGAGTAGTAGAAAAATCTCTCCAAAGATCATAAGACTCCTATAGATGTATGATTTGCCTATATTAAAATAGTCTAGCTTAGACACAAACCCACCTTATCCAAAGTAATAATTCCTGTTCTCCCTTACTCTCTGATATGTTCAGAATAAGTAAATCCATTCCAGGTTTCATGGTTCCATCATGTATTGTGTGTTTAATGTTTTCATTAATCTTGTAATGATCCCACAGTGTGGTGGTGACTCTGATTCTTCCCCAGGCCAGCAAGTCTTTTGTTGCAGTCTCTTCATCTATTAATTCATCAAACTCTTGAGCATCTTTTAATGTGCTAGGCACCATCAGGTCACAAGAGCTATAGCCACTGAATGAACAAACAAAAAAAAACTAAAATAAAATAAAAATCCAATCAACCAACCTCATATCCTTTGGATTCTGGAGCTAATACATTATTTAGGCCCCTAGGAATTACACATTGGGGGTAGCATTGGTACATCAGGGTTGGACTACATTTTATCTTAGTTTTTTCTTTAATGTACTCTTTCAAAACTGAAAACTCAAAGACTCTTTGTTTTTGAGCAGATTTTATTTTATAACAGAATTATTATTATTATTGTCAGTTTCTATATTATATAAGGTTTTCCTAAAATATTTTAATTAAGTTCTAATCCTCCATCTTTCTTGATCAATATAGCAGTTTGGGGCTGAGAATATAGCTTAGTGATAGAGTACTTGCCTAGCAAGCTCCAGGCCCTCGGATACATCCCTAACTTTCTCAAACCCCCATCTCCCACCAACCCCCCTGCAAAAAAAGAAAACAAAACATCCCCTTTGACTGTGCTAAGTCAAAGACACCCACATGAAAGGAATGCACAAATGGATTGTTAAGGGGAGAGTGAGCTCGTTTTCTAGGTGAATAGGCACTTGGGAAAGACTTCAAGTTGGTTGTCAAGAGTTCTTCTTGATACCCAGCTCTGCCACTCTCCAGTTTTGTGAGCTCGATGAAGCGCGTGAATTCTTTCATCTGAATAAGTAGCCTAGAGTATTGAAAGCTCCATTCAGGGTTTAATGCCACTTGGTCATTTAATTTCTTTAAACATGTGACTTCCCACTTCCCCTGCTTACCTAGGTGGACGTGATCGTGACACTGGGAGGCCTTGCTGGGCGTTTTGACCAGATCATGGCGTCTGTGAACACCCTGTTCCAAGCCACTCACATCACGCCTCTGCCAGTTATCATGATCCAAGAGGAATCTCTCATCTACCTTCTCCAGCCAGTAAGTGAAAAAGTAAATAAAGCAGTACTTCCTTCCATAAAACATCTAGCATTCTAGAAGATGCGGAGAACCTTGGCCTCGCTGTCTTTTAACTCTGAAGTACACTGTTTGCTTATTTGTAGCTGCTTTCCTCTGTGGCCCCAAGTCCCTGCCCAGCACCAAGGCAGAGAAATCTCCAAGTTTACATTTTATTGCAGCCAGAAGAAAAAGAAAATCTTGTAACTTTTAATTAAATTGAGTAAGAATTAAATTTAGCACGTTTGCATTTAGAACAGTTGAATGTGAATGACACTTGAGAAAACCTTCAACACAAGGGAAACACAAGACTTGGCAAATATATCAAATGGAATTCTCATATATTTTGAATTTTTTCCTTGTAATTGGAAACTGGATTTGATTTTGTTAAGTACTTGAAAGCAAATGTTTAGCTTTTGCTACTCCTAAGTTTCCTGATAATTAATTTTACTCCTTAAAGCAAATCTTTAACAATGATGCCATTTTTGTCCAATGATAAGTATCAGGAAAATTTCTGTGAATGTAGGGCATAGAATAGAATTCTTTGTAAATTTGTAAAAAAAATTCTAAATAAACAAATTTTATAAGGTTTATTGGTAGATTTTAGTTAAAAAGAAATCAGCAGCTGGGTGCAGTGGTACACACCTATGATCCCTGTGGCTCAGGAGGCTGAGGCAGGAAGATTGCAAATTCAAAGCTAACCTCGGCTATGGGGAGGGGTCCATCATTTTGTTAGGGGATACTTCTTCCTGCTCAGGAGGATGTAAGCCACCTAAGAAATTAAAGTCTAGAATAATAATGAAGAACAAAAGACAAAGTCAGAAAGATTTTTTCAAAAGAGGGAGCCCTTGATAAATCCAGTGGTTTATTAAGGGCATACATTAAAGACAGGGATAAGATTTAAGGAGTGGAGTCTTGCTTCATGATGCCTTGCCATCAGCAGGTTGATTGGCATTTTGGCAGGTCACACCCATCTCAGAGGGGCTGTGCAGCTACAGCAGGTCACCCCATCTCCAGTGCTGTGTGGGACCTTTGGCAGAGCTTGAATAGGGCTCAGAGTGTATCTGGGCAGTAAGCCAGAGGAAATGTCCACTAGAAGTTCCTAGACACCAGATTCTCCTATTCATCAGGCTGCGATGTGCGATGTAGTCTGCACACAGCCCACAGATGGTTCTTGACACTCAGCAACCTAGCACAGCCCTAAGTAACTTAGTGAGACTCTGTCTCAAAAAATAAAAAGGGCTGGTATGTGGCTTAGGGGTTAAGTGCCCCTAGGTTCAATCCTTGGTACCTATATATATATATATATATTTTTTTTTTTTTAAAGATAGTGGGCAGTTGTTTTCTTTTTTGCTGTAGTGTACCATTGTGAAAAATTTGTTGTTTAATATAGCTAGTCAAATGTATACTGAGTTTTGTTGAGCAAGTTTTATCCCTTTTTTTTGTTTGTTTTACCCTTTTTTAATTTTTGTTTTTAAATCTTTTTCTGGCTCTTTATATCACCTGGACTTAGTGCTTCCTAGGAAAATGTGGAAGAGGAGCTGAGGAATTCAGATCTCAAACTCCATATTCTTTCTTTACTTAGCAATTATATAGCACCTGCTACATTGGGATTGGTCATACATTTGATCTCTAGTTCCTGTCTAGTGGAGGAGACATTTATAAAAATGTATTCATAACTGGGTTAGCTTTCTGTTACTATAACAAATACTGAGGTGATCAAGTTATAAGGAGGAAAGGCTTACCTGGCCCACAGTCTTCCCGAGGCTTTAGTTTGTGATCATTGGCTCTTCTCTGTTGCCTTGGGCTGGTGGCAGAACATCGTGGTGGGGGAATATAGTGGAATAAAACCACTCATCTCGTGGCCAAGTCATGAAAAAAGAAAATAAGAAAGCGGCAGGTTCCCACTACCCTTTGAGATCATGCCTGATGACCTGAGACCTCCCTTGGCCCCACCTCCCCATAGTACCACCCTGGGGCCCCAGCCGTTATCACATGGACCCTCTGAAGATCCAAATGATAGCAGTAATGCCATTAAGAGCTTAGTGCATAAAGATGATGAGAGAACACATAATCTGGGCATGTGTAGTAAGGAAAAGCTTTGCACAGGCACACACTGTTTAGTCTCTCAATTAGTGCAACAAATATTTGTTGAATATCTTTTATTTGCCAGGCTTCTTTCTGGGGATAAGAAATCAACAAAACAGACAAAAGCCTTTGTTTTCTTGGAACATACATTCTCCTGAACTTACATTTGAACAGAATCTTCATGGGAAAGACATTAGCTGCCAGTAAGGAAAGGTGGAGGTGCAAACGTGGGGGTCTTCAGAATAGGTGGTCCATGGATGCTGTTCATTGTTATTGAGAATTACAGTCACAGTCAGGACAGGCTGATGGAACATTACAGAATTAACCCGAAACTGTTTTAAGTATTGTGCAGCAAAGATGAGTACAGTCTGATGTCTGATGACAAAGAATGACATTAAAAATTCTTAACTTTATTTGAATCAACACTAACATCTCACTGTTGGGTAGGAAGATATTTGAGGTTTTTACAAGCTGGAGCACATTTGAACTTTATAGCAATACTGTCAGGAAAGCAGGACAGGTAATAAAGGTTGTGCCTCAAAACTTTTTCCACGCCACTACATTTCTTCTTTCACGGGGTTAATGGACTTAAATACAAACGACAAGCTCTTAAAACAAGTCACAGCCCATAGGCTGGTAATTTTCCATAAGCAGTGTTTACCTGAGTGGCCAGCGGTGTGTGCATGTGAATATATGTACATAAATATTTGTACATTTATGTATACATACACACATATAGTAATTTTTTTCCTACAAAGTCTTTTTCAAATTGCATGGAAATGAAGGGAGACCCTCATTGCTATACAAAATTACATATAAGAGGTTATGAGGGGAATGGGAAAATAAACAAGGAGAGAAATGAATTACAGTAGGTGGGGTAGAGAGAGAAGATGTGAGGGAAGGGGAGGGGGGATAGTAGGGGATAGGAAATGTAGCAGAACAACAATTACTAATAGGGCATTATGTAAAATTGTGGATGTGTAACCGACGTGATTCTGCAATCTGCATTTGGGGTAAAATTGGGAGTTCATAACCCACTTCAATCTAATGTATGAAATATGATATGTCAAGAGCTTTGTAATGTTGTGAAAAAAAACCAAAAAAACAAATAAGATAGAACTTGGGTTCACTTTAAACATACATTCCACCTTACTGCTGTACCTCTAAATTAAAGAAAAATGCTAAACTAAAAAATGTCTTCCTAGGACAAAAATTTTATTTTATAAAGAAATTAAATGAATTTCCATTGAGATTTGTTAACATACATTAAAATGGTAAAATTCAATATAAATGTTAATTATCATGAATGTTAGTTTTGAGAAAATTGCTTTCTAAAATTTTCTTTACAACTATAAATTATCTGACATAAAAGATAGCAGGAGGAATAAGTTCTCTATGGGAGCTCTTTGTTTTGAAAACATTTTACCACTGCAAGAGAATTATTGTTGATTCTGCCATATTGACATTAATTGGCCAGGATGTTCCTTGACCCTAGAACTAAAATGTGCTTCTCTTGATCTTACCCTCAAGTCTTCTTAGTGATGACTGTGATGTTCTGTCTTTTGGAGAGTCTACATGTGAGACTGTGATGTGACTAGAATGTATAAATAAGTAATGATTGTTCATTGATTAGAGTTATGTTAGGCATTTGGGACTGAGCCTTATATCTAGAAGCAGTTCATTGAAATTTGTTGAGTGTGTTCCAGTCTAGTCCACAGTCTCCTTTTGATCCCCTTTCGGTGATTTATTTTTATTTATGGTAAGTCGGATTTTAAAACAAAGTCATGGAAGGATAGCTCTGCATCGATATGAATATGCTTGGGTAATAAGCATATAAATTTTTATATTGTATTTTAGAATATGTCAATTACTACAGGTCAAAATATCTACGATTGCAAACCTTAGCATGTATTTTCTTTGAAGGAAATATTCAATCTGCCATCTAGAAATGGAAGTTTAAAATAGGATGCATGATATTTCCTCCCTCAAAAGTAAGCCTCCCTCGTTTACTTCCAAAAAAAAAAAAATGTGTTCTTGGTAAGATACCATCACCCTCTGTGAGCAGGAGAGCTCACGAAAAAGGAGATGCCCCAACATGAAGCTTCACTGATGTCCGTGACCCGTTGCACCCTGTTCCCTCAGAAGACAGGCAGCGCTCTGGGCTGTGTGTATCCTGCTGCCTGTGCAGGCTGTGGGTGGCCCCAGGTTTCACATGCACACTTTCTCATTTTCTGGTTCTGTGCTTCCGAGGAGCAAAGAAACATGAGCTTCTGTACACTGAGCATAAATTATCTTTTATCTCCAAGTTTTATGACAGTTTATAATACAAGTTAATAGGATTTATGACCAAGAAATGAGATGTCCCGGAGTTAATAAGGCGTGCCTTTTACATTACCCCAAACCTTGTTCAGTGATTCCTAATCAGGATTCCAGGACCGGATGCAGAGCTGGTGTTACAGAGCAGACTTCTGTCAGTCTTTATCTCAGTCGAGCAAACTTCTAAATGTGTTGTAAATATGCCTTCCTTGTGATCTCAGTTATGTTTTACTGCCCCTTGCTTTCTCTCATCAGATTAATTATTTGCTGGGTGAAGCCTGCCCTTTTATATATTATATGTTTGTCATACTGGTAGTGAATAGGATAAGAAGGTGTTCATAGCTGAATATTCATGACGCAGATTTGACATGTGTGATGTTTCTGCTGAGAGCTCAAGTCCTGGGGTCCCTGTACCAATCCATACCCATGTCAAGCAGTCTTGTCTGTGACAGCCTCCAAGAAGTGAATCTCTGCATGATTTGAAATGGGGGCAGAGACAACTCTGAAATCTTCTATTTGTTGTCATATTTGAATTCCTTTCTTTGGAAAATTTTATTTTTTTTTTAAATTCTTCCCTCTCTCTTCTATAACTTTTGTCATTGGCTTGTCCTTGTACTGAGATATAAATTTTATGGCAGCAAAGAACTAATAGTCTAAACAGTATTGAAAAGATCATTTTATATATAGGAATTTGCAGAGAATCTTATGAGATCTGCCCAAGGATATTTATAGTAATTCTTTGAAGGAAAATTGGTGCTGATATCAGAGACACATACGTGCATATCCTTGTTGCTGCAGTATTCATTGTTGCTGACACATAGTGCCATCAATGAAAGAAGGGATAACACAGATGTGGGACATAGACACCTTAGAATTTATTCAGCCATTAAAAGAACAATATCCGGGCTGGGATTGTGGCTCAGCAGTAGAGCGCTTGCCTAGCACATGCGAGGCCCTGGGTTTGATCCTCAGCACCACATAAAAATAAATAAATAAAATAGGTGTACTGGGTCCAACTACAACTAAAAAATAAATATTTAAAAAATAACAATATCCTATCATTTACAGCAAAATGGATAAACCTGGAAGACATTATGTTAAGTGAAAGAAGTGAGACACTTCTTAAATTACCACGAGTTTTCTTTCATGTAGATGTTTTTAAAAGTTGATTGTGGAATATATAATGGCAATTACTGAATGCTGGGAAGCGTTGAGGGGCAGGAGGGTGTGGGAGGTTGGATCAGGGAACTTACACCAGTTCCATAGAAGTGGTGAATTCTGGTCTTCTACAGAGGAGGAGTTACTCTACCTCATGGTACACTATTATGTATCTTATGAATAACTAAAAGAGGCTCCAAACAAGATAATGAGGAGACGGAAATGTTAATTACCCTGATTTGATCAGTACACATTATGTACATGTATTGAAATATCACCCCAAGCCCCTTAAATATGTATGATTCTTTAGTATTAATAATCTTTTAAAAAATATTTGAGGAGACGGAAATGTTAAATACCCTGCTTTGTTCATTACGCACTCTACGTATGTATTGAATTATCACATTATTCTCTGTTGATTTTTACAATTAATTACTTTTACCAAAGAAAACAAAAACAAATTGGTGCTGAACACTAAGCGGATCTCACACAGTGCCAGTCTAGAAGAGGACCACAGGCATCAAATCTAGAAGTAGCCCTCTGCTTCAAGCCTTCCCAACCTGCCTTCCTCCTCCAGAGGGCAAATGCTGCTCTGTCCTCCCACCTGGGAAGGTCTGGCCAGGTGAGGATGCTCAGTGCCTCACCTGAGGGCTCTCCTCCCAACGGTGTGGCTGCTGGTTGCTGGGCCTGCTCCTCTCCCTTGGCTCGTCTGCTCTGCTGTGCAAGGGCCATAGTCACTTCCCCGCTGGAGCGCACAGGGCACCCACCTTCCCTCCACGTCCCCTCGTCCATGGCTTCAGACTTGCCCAGCCTCCAAGGGAGGTTTTCAGTGTTCATTCTTCTCTCCTTTTGCTCTCCTTCGACGTTCTTTTTCCTCCCCTTCCTCTCAGCATTTTAAAATTATAACACCAAAAACTGTCCTGTTACAGTGACAGAAGTCTACACATGTTAGTAGGAAGACCTTGTATTTAATGTGAACTAAGACACTAAAAAGTAAAATTTCAGGGCTATACAATTCTTGTTTGTTTAATGTCTCAGTGTCCTGTTTAAGTTGGTATAACAATTTTCCCTGTATGATTTTATCCATGTTTAATTAAACTAGTTTTCTTTAAGAATTAAACCCAACACTCGGATTATTTGTTTGTTAGGTATTGTTTTGCTTTGCTGACTCACCACCTTAAGTACTCACAGACATCTGAACACCTTTTACACCTATCGTGTAATAGACTCTGCAGACACTTGAAGAATTGAAATAAGAGGCTCTGCCTCTGTTCTCCATCTTATAGTTCAGAAATATGCTCTAAGAAAACACAGTGCTGTGGGGATCACTGGAGAGAGCAGCTGACGTGGACTGGGCCCAGGGTTGCTGGAGATTTGTGGATAGTTTCTCAAGAGAGATGATATCAAAATTCATGCCTGATAAGGAGTAAGACAAAGAAAGGAATAAAATACTTAATGTGGAAGTAATATAATCTGCCAAGCCAAGGTGAGCTTGGTGAACTTGTCACATTTTGGACCTGCTGGACCTGGGGACACAGGACATGCAGCCAGAGGCAGGTTCCATGCAGCGGGGGCTTGTTTGTGTTGCCTGGAAGATGGTCTTACCATTGAAGGTGAAGGCTGGGTACTAAGCATTTTATCAGAATGGCACTTGATGGGCATTTTAGGTAGTTTATTGTGGTAGTGCCGGAGGATAGAATGATTAGGGGGAAAGGGAGGCCAATTGACTAATTTAGAAATCCCAGGAAGAAATGGTAAGTTCAGAAGTCAACGTGAACATGAACAAGAGAGCTGGGGTTCTGTGGGGTGTGTCCTACCAAGTCTTCATTGCAGAAATGAGAGGAGGAGGCCGTCTGGTACCGAGGCTGTGCATGGAGCTGTGTGCTGGTGCTGTCCTTTGGGAGAGAGAAAACAAGAACAGATCAAAATGGGAAGATGGCCAGTTGGGTCTGGGATGTAAAGAGATTGATCTATCTTTGGAACCAAGTAGAATTGCCTAAAAGGATATATGATCCGAGCTGGAGATATACCTATTGAGAATCATGTTACAATCCCGGGGGAGGAGGCACCACATTCTTTACCAAGGTCCCAAGTGAAAAGAGCAATGAGGGAACCACTGAACCCAGGGAGAATCTTACAGGAAAAGAAACGAGAGACCTGAAAAGAGAGCGGTGCCACTGAAATCAGGGTGATTTAGTGCTTCAGGGGGCATGAGTGGTTAGTTAGGGGGTTAAGACTAAGAAAGAGGAAGTGCATTAGGGCATTAGGCACTCGAAGAAACTTGATAAGGTGCAGCTGTTATAGCACAATTTGATTAGAAACAGGTTACCATTAGTTGGGGATTAAATGGCAGTCAAAGTACATTTCTCTAGTGTGATGGTTTGCCCTTTCTCAGTGTTTCCTGATAGCAACTGAATTTTTTGGACTCACCTGGGAACTGAAGATGGCTTATAATATTGTTCTAATGAGACCTTCTCCAAGGGGAAAACAGGCAGGGCGGTAACTGGGTGAATGGCGGTGTCTGACTTTCTTCCCTGCAGGGCTTGGCATTCCGTGCCTGTGCTGTGCCTTCTGTAGACTGGCTGGCCTATCTGTGGACACACTAGAGAAGTGTTGTTCAACCTATTTTTAGTTCATATTCTCTTCCAAATATGGGGGGGTGGTGTCCTGGCCACCTGAGCCCCAGGATTTTCAAAAGGCTTTCCCTCATCTTCTCCCTGTTCTTCCTTGGTCTGGACCTAAGCCGTGGACCTCTGGGTCAGACCTTTGAATCCCCCTTTAGGACTGGGGAAAACTGGCTCATCTGTCGTTTTCCAGCCTGACTTCCACTACTCTTTTCTCCACAATCGAACTCGCTATTCTTTGCCAAAAAAACATGTTTGTCTAAATCCCTCTCTTTTAAAGCCCTACTTAAAATTTCAGCCTTCCACACAGCATTTCCAAACAAACTGCTGTAAACTCCCTTTATCTGGATCGATTTTTCTCACTTTCTGTCTTAGTCCATTTGGCTGCAATCACAAAATTCCATAAACTCTATAGTTTACAAGCAGAAATTTATTTCTTACAGCTACGGAGGCTAGAAAGTCCAAGATGAAGGTGCTGGCGGATTCAGTTTCCCAGCCCTGGCGCACGGACGGTTCCTTCTCCCTGTGTCCTCTCACGGGCAGTGACAGCTGAGCTCGTGGGGCCCCTTGTGCGGGCTCTGCCTTCATGATCTGCTCACCTCCCCAGGCCCCACATCTCAACACCATCACATCTGTGGTCAGGTTTCAGCATATGAACTTTGAGGAAGAAAAAAAACATTCCGACCAAGCACTCTTTCAGACATTTTTTTTTTTCTTTCTCCTTTGGGCCTCAAATAGTCCAATCATAAAATAAAATTCATTAAGTTATATTTTTCCTCATTTTCCAAATTCAAAACATAATTATACACTTCAATCAAAGATGAAATAACAGTTAGTTTACCCAGTGAGAGTCAAATACAACAAATAGGAAGTTTTTGATTATCTATCTTATCTCAGGAGGAAAAGAGTGAAAGAGAGCCCCTCCCTCCCACCTAGCCACACAGTACACAAGTCCTTTGACTGTGAAGAATCTTTACTGAGGGAGATATACGGGAAGATGCTCGTCAGAACAACACCTGTGGTGATCCCTCAGCCAGTTCAAAGCTGTGGGCCAGGAAATACAGCATTCCGTCTCCATAGAAACTATTTAAAAACTTGGTTCTACATTGGCCTTTCATTTTCCACCAGGAGTGACAGAGAGTTGGTTTGGGAGACTGGATGTGACCCTCAGAGTGCCGTGCAGGTAAAACAGCAGAAAGGATGCCATCAGCACGTGTCTGAACTCTGTCACCAGAATTTATCACCATCCAATTCTAGGTAAAGTCATGGAATTTGGGAAGTGATGCTGTTTCCTTCACCGCTCCACAGTCCCCCTAGCGAGGGACACAGTGTGCTGTGTCACCTGTGCTTAGTTCAGTTGAGCATTCCTTCAGCAGCTTCCCTTGAAAACAAAAGGTCACCACCACAGTAGCAATGAATGGTGAAGCCATGTGCTGTCACGAGCAGGGAAATGGGTGAGCCTCTGGGAGGAAGGCCAGCACAAGGAGAAGTCTCTAGGTCAAGAACTCCCGTCTACTCCAGCTGCCTCCGTGCTGCTTCTCAGCCGCTGAGGGACCCTCCCACCCTCCCGAATTTGGAAGCATTTCAATCTTATTTGTTCCAAACATGACCAAAAGTAAAAGTGAGGAAAATGTATACACATGAAGAAGTCAGGCTGGGGAAGGAGAGAGTTGAGGATGTCTAGTCAAACAACATACTTACCCTGGATATTTTTAAGCTCTTCCAAGGAATGGCAAAAGTGCATCCTCCTGGGCCCATGCACACGCACACAATACAAGTGACATGGAAGTATACATCCACCTGCCCCAAGAACCTCCGCTCCTCCAACAAAATTTTACTGAGGAAAAAAAAAAAAAAAAGCATTCTGTATCTCAGGTTCACCAGGTAGGATTTTTTTTAAAACCACTCTCCTATATGTCTAAAAAAGAAAACAAAAAAAAAAAAAAAAAACTGGGTCTGTTTAGTTGTACATTATGTTAGAATCCATTTTGATATAATTATACAAACAGGGAATATATCTTATTCTAATTAGGACCCCAGTGTTGTGGATGTACACGATGGTGAGATTCACTATGATGCATTCATATGTACACAGGAAAAATTTTTTCATTATTTGAATTTTGATATTTGACTTAGAGGTATATAGAATAAATGTAACAATGAAATTAAAAAAAATGCTTCAGTTTCAGGAAGCAAGTTGCAGGGCATAACCCAAGATGATAGGCATTTACACATGTACATACACACACACAGGTTATAAAATAACCTCTGGATCTGAACAGCTGGACCAAAAATAATGTCTTTCAGAGACATACAGCATGTTCAGCATACGAAGTGCCTTCATCATTGTCTCACTTGATTTGCCTAGCAGTGTTTTAAGCAGTCAGACTCTGTATTTTATTTTCTATTCTTAGATGAGAAAACTATGCACAGAGCAACATTTTGAGTGCATGGTAAATCTGATAACAGTCTAGGAAATTTCTGAATTCAAGTCCTATATCCTTTGCTATATAGCTACACATAGGAATATATAAATTTTATTGGACTACGTAAGAAAAGGTAACCAGTTTTAAATATTTTTTGTGCACTGAGTGGTTCAACTAGAAGCAGTCCATCCTCATTGTCTTGAAAAAATCCGGGTAGTTTTTTCCTCCACAATAAATATTTCATTATGAAAATCATCACATATACAAATAAATCAATAACACAATAAACAATGTATCCCAACCAACTACTTTTAATTTTTAAATAATTTTATCACACAAAGATGCCCCTGGCCTATAGTGATTGAGGCTATTGGACTTACAGTAACTCTGCTGTCACTGGAAAATATTGGAAAGAGCATTCAAATACCTCACCTGCTGGACTTCATGGCTAAGCAACTGTTGAGTGGACACTGTTCACTGTCACGATCTCCTGGCTCCTGGGAGCTCTGACTTGCACTTCTGTCTGGCATCATGAGATAGTGCCAAGGTCTGTTAGGTTCTCATCACAGTGACCAAAATATCTGAGAAGAACAAATTAGAGGAGGAAAAGTTTATTTTGGACCCACAGTTTCAGAGGTTCAGTCTGTGGTCAGCCAACGCCATTGCTTTGGGCCAAGATGATGGTGAAGAAAGTTTCTAAGCTCATGGCAACTGGGAAGCAAAGTGGAAGGGAGGATCCACGGACAAGATATACCATTCCCAACTGCTCCCCAGCTCCACCAGTGACCTACTTCCAGCCGTGCCACCACCTGCCTTCCATTGCCATCCAAAAGTCCATTCAAATTATTGGTCCACTGATGAAGTAAGGCTCTCATATCCTAATCATTCACTTTAGAACAATCCTACATTGTCACATGGGAGATATATATATTATCACTAAATATATATAACACTAAATATATATAACACTCATATTGCTAGCCCAAGAACTGACTGAAATTCAAAATTTGAAGTACATTTTTTTAGTGAATGCAAACTGCTTTCACAATCAAAATGATAAAAGATGAAAGGTCAAACTGGGAACCATTTGAATGCTCTATCTCTACCCATAGGTGTATTTTCTTTTTTAATCACTTGAAAGTAAGTTGCAGACATCACATTGCATTATCCTAAATACTCCTGAATGAAAAGTGATGTTTAAAAACAAAGATCCAAGCAATTAGGTGTGCTTGTTTCTACTTCGTGGTATTGCTTCTAGACTTCCAGTGAACAGAACTTAAAAAAAAAAAACTGTCTATATTTGTGTGAATATATGTACATGTTATATGTATATACATATGTGAATATATATGCAAATCATAAGTTAATAACATTGATGCTTTGGAATTAATTTTAATATATATTTTTAAAATTTTTTGTTTTCTGTTTTTATTTCTTTAACCTAAAAACATCCAAGTTTGGAACAATGTGCTTATAATATGCTATAATGTATACTAACAAGTTTCAAAGTAATAACATCTCTATTACCATAAACTGTAAAACTACTGAGTGAAATTTAAGATTTTGTGGCAGGTGTTTCTGATTTCAGAGAATTGTGTCTAAAAATTTTCACTTGAAATAGTAAGTTTTGTTTCTGGAGCTCTTGGTATTAATTTCATCTGCTCTTAGGCTCATTTGTTGCAGTTTGAAGTTATCAAACTTTATTTTTCAACTAGTAACATGATTACATAATTCAGAAGGCGTAATTCATGATTATATAATTCAGGAAATGTATCACTTTTATTCCTATCTCTACAGCATCATCATGCTATTTCAGAATATTCCAGGTTCTTGTAATAACAGTAAACAAAAACAAAACAAATGAGTATCTATATTCTCATTTCCCCTTATTTTTATATAAAATTTGTATCTATAAACATTTGCCTGTGTATCCCTTTTTTGTACTGGGCGGTACATTTGGAGACTACTCCCATCAAAAGCAGTCCATCCTCATTGTCTTATTATGGGTCCTTTGTGTTTTATGATGTGGAGAAGCCTTAGTGTGGCAGACTTTATCCACCTGCAGCTTTTTGAAAAAAAAAAAAAAAACTGGAAATTCAGACTAGGGAGTGCTGTGAGTTGTGGGTGTGTGTTTTTCAAAAAATATTTGTTAGGGACTTCTGTGTAGTTTCCTGTTAAGAATTATTTTGCTCTCAAAGCAACTATACGAGATAAAGATGGTAAGACACAATTTTAAAGGTGAGTAAACCAGGTTCCCCCAAAAGACAGAGTGATTTGGTAAGGATTTTGTGCCTATTAAAGACACATTTCAGAATGTCAGACAGACCTTTTAACTCTCTCTGCTCCACAGTACCATTGCCAAGTACATGATTTATAAGTTACCACGCTGCCATTCTATATAGAAGAAACAATTTTAAACAGTAAACACATTAAGCAAATATAATGACCATGTAATTCATGCTTACCTTTTGTTGAATGTAAGTAAGTTTTTCAGTAGAAAGAAATGAATGGATATGATCAGTTCTTATCACAGAGGAAGAATATTCCATTTTAGCTCAGATACTGGAATAACAAATCTGAATCCTTTTCCGTTCTGGAAAATGGCATGGTGAGAGAGGGGCCAGATTGATTCATTTCATACGCATTGGCCTTTCCCGTTGTCTTATGACAGGAAGCCAATGTCACCCCTATTAGCAGCCCTCCAGGTAAAAGCACAGAGTATAGAACATTGGCCATATTTTACCAGGCAAGTTTAATGTACAAAAATATTGCTCAAGGGACAGTAGAGAAGGATTGATTTTCTCCTGAGTGATGCTACCTATTAACAAGTGGGCACTCTGAAGTTTTGATAACAGTAATTGAAAAGCTAGGAATAGACCTTCATATTTTTTTCTGAGCATATTTTACACTGTACAATATTTCAGTAGCAGAGAAAGACTTATGAAAAATAAAAGATGTTGAACAATGTTTTTTTTTCATGTCTTCATTCAACCAACATATTATCGAGGGCTTATCAGTATGGGGCATCTTGCTAACCTGAGGATGAATAAGATGGACTGAAAGAGTTAACAGTCTATTCACTAAACAGTGTTGCAGAATAAAATAAAATAAATTCAATAGTTACAAACACACCATTCAGAATATCACGGGAGTCCAGAGAAGCAACGTAACCTTCCTACAGAAAGCTAGAAGAAAGATTCCTGGAGAGGTCGTTGCTAATGTGGGCCCCCAAAGCAGGCAAATGAGTGGGGGTCCTGAGGAGTGAAGGGTAGAAGGCCCCAATAGGGACCACGTGAACAAGGCTGTGTGGTGAGGACTGCACACAGCATGTGTTGGAGAAATCTAGAAAGGCTGCTGTTTCTGGGGAAGAAACCAAAGATGTGGTAGTCTGGAAGGCTACAGAAAGAAGACAGAAAGCCGTCCGTGAAGCATCACTCTAGAATTTAAATAAGAGATCCTTAACTTCTGTGGATTTGTGAGCCCATTTGAGAAACTTAGGAAAAGCACAAATGTTCATTTTATATACATTCAGATTTTTAAATATAATCTTAAACATTTATAGAAGCTCTGAGCCCACATAGACTTCTATATGGAAACCTGCTCATTTCAAACAAATTCTCGTGATTTTACCTTGTTATCTTGCTAGTTAGCAAGGAGAGGGTTCAGGTATATTCATACCTAGGAGCTTCCATTGAGTTAAAAAAAACTGTTAAATGGGGACAACAGCCAAAATTCTTCAATAATAATAGTAAAAATAGTGTTGGTGGCTAATGTTCTCACCATGTGCTAGGCACTATGCTAAGTAATTACATGTATTAACTTGATTTTCTTTTGTAAATTTTAATAAGAAACTTATATGTGAAATACACATTGTTATCCCTATTTCTCAAATAAAAAAAAAACCCTGAAATCTAAGGTCTCATTCACAACTAGTAATATGTAAAGCTGATGCACCAGGTATGATGACTGAACATTGCATTAGCTTTCCATCACTGTGACCCAATATCTGACATGAACAACTTAGAGGAAGAAGTATTAATTTTCTTCCCCTCGTGGTTTCAGAGGGTTCCTTCCCTGGTGGCAGCCTCTAAAGCAGAACATCATGGCAGAAGGTTGTGGTGAAAGAAAACTTCTCAGCTTATGGCAACTGAAAAACAGAGGGGAGGGAGGAGCGAGGGACAAGTTCTCATCCCCACGGACTTGTCCCCACTGATCTACTTCCTCTAGCCAGACCCCACCTGCCTAGGAGTCCTTTTTCCTGTCAGTGGGCTGTTATTCCACTGATGAGGTCAGACCCTCACGCTCCAGTCACTTCCACCTCAGCCTTGCTGCATTAGGGACTAAGCCTTCAACACATGAGGTTTAGTGGACACTCATATCCAAACCCTGTGCCAATTTTATCCCCTCTCTGAGACAAAAGTTGTTGAAATTGATTTCAGCCTTAGGCTAGAAGCCCAGACTGATTGGCCATAGATGTAACTCAGTAAGAAAAACCTTATGTTCTTTTCATTAACCTAGCATCTTAGATTTAAAGATTTCTCCCCTTTAAAGTACCTATCCGTAACACCATTTCAAATAGTAGTAAGTATAGTTACAGAGTTGTTAGTTGCAACACAGGATAGATATTGTGTATTGTTCAATGGACTGCCATCAAGGAATTTTGTTTTGTTTTTTTTTATTTGTTGTTTTTTTTTATTGGTTGTTCAAAACATTACATAGTTCTTGATATATCATATTTCACACTTTGATTCAAGTGGGTTATGAACTCCCATTTTTACCCCATATACAGATTGCAGAATCACATCAGTTACACTTCCATTGATTTACTTATTGACATACTCATGTCTGTTTTTACAGCCAAGTAGTGCATAATTCTTATCCTTAATGTATTCTTCATTTCATACAATTTTGTGTACCAAATTCTAACTTAGTACTTGGCATTGAAATGTTGATTTGCAACGTTAAAAAAAAAAAAAAGGAATGCTACAAATCTTCTCCTCTATTCCTTTTATCAACAGTGCTTTTTACCTACAAATTGCATTTCTATCCCCAAAAGGAGCCATACAATTATCTCAACTGATGCAGAAAAAGACATTTGACAAAAGTCAGCATTCTTTCATGTTAAAAACACATACCCACAAGTCCGTCAAACCAAAAAAGACGTTTATTGCAGTAATGCTTTTTTTTTTTTTTTTTTGCAGAAGAATCATATTTAAAGGAAGGAAAGCATTCAGAACCGTTAGAAGGGAAATGAGAAGGAGACTGTATATCAAGGTTAATTACATAATGGCAGCATAGATAGTTAAGGAGTGAGTGTATGAAGAAGCAGTGGGTGTCCAGCAAGGTGCTGTCTTGGAGCCTGTGGTCCTGAGTGGGAAGAGCGAGTCTCAGCTGCAGTGTACACTGTTGGCAAATCCAGGGGAGCAGTCTCTCCTTCACCATCTGTGGCACTGGAATCAAAATGTTCATGAAAACTAAAATGTTTGAGAATTGTGATGTTTCTGTTTGTTGGGTCTTTTGTTGTTGTTGTTGTTGTTTACTTCTTTAGGGTTCCATTGGAAAGAATTGAGCTAATCATGCT